ATAAATAATGGTTACATATCAAATGTTTTTTTTACCAATTAAATACAATTTTATCGATAATATTATTCAAATAAAGTGATTGATCATATCTTTGCGTACATTGGTAACATATTTATTGATAACAGACAACGGTTGCATAACTGTTTTACCTATTAAAAAAAAAAGAAAACCAATAAAAAGTGTATGAGAAGCGTTTATACATTAGTCTAACTTTAATTGTAATTTTTACATTAGTTTAACTTTGATTGTTGTCTAGCTTATATTGTTGCTACAAACTTTACTTGACCTAATATACTCAATACTCAATACTTAGGATTTTAATATAATATATATGATATATTTATTGTGACCGATTAAAAAAAAACTAAATTAGATTAAAATAAAATTTAATATAGTCTAAAATAGACAAACTACCAAAAATAAAAATTTCTATGATGTATTTTTTTTAGTTTTTTTTTGTTTTAAAGTTAGTGGTCAGCTTTAGGGGTAGAATTTATAATAAACGAGTATAAATGGGTTTTAAAGGTTTATAGAAATTTCGATTTTCATTTTAATCTGATTTTACTTTAATTAGCAACATTTATTATGCTAGACTTTTATACTGTACATTCGTAATTTGCAAAAATGGTTTATGGTTATTGAACTTTTATTAGATCAATTTTTTAAGCTGATGAAAGAATTTGTCGTGATCAAAACAACAAATATCAGTCGTACAGATCAGTACATATGTACAAGATGAATCAAAAAAAAATAACAGAAAAGACAAAAGAGCGTATTTTTAATATCAAAATATTAATTCAAAATTTTTTTTCTAATACTTGGATTATTGGTCATGTGATAAATATTCAAATTAGTGCGGTATAGATTAATTTGTTTGTTTATGATCTTCCGATATTAAAGCGCGGCAAACTTGAAACTTCCGACAATCTTACCCCGACATGTGTCACGTGATGTTGAAATATACCTTGATATAATTTGATTCGATAAATTTAAACTATCATGAATAATTGCCATGAATAAATGCTACATTGTATCAATATATTTATAACATTCAAATAAATTTTATCATAAGTTATAAACAATTATTAATATCGGCAAGAGTTAAACCGGAAAGTCGGATATGCATATGATGGGAATTTTCTTATTACCACTAACGCTAATAAAAAATATGCAAATTTGGTTGTACGTAGTAGCATGAAACATCGTCATCTGAACGTGCACTTGCGTAAACTATAAATAACTTGGACTAAATTTTATTATAAAAATCATATAGGTTTATATATAATTATATGCGATAGTTTTCTTTTTAGCTTACTCATCTCTAATTAGAATTTAACCTGTTTGTTCTAATTGGAATTTAACCTGTTCTGATTAGAATTTTCCTGTTTGTATATCTATTATTATAACAATTAGGTCCGAACAAGCTGATTGATACCCCTATATAATCAACTAATCATCTAATCATGCGATAATGCCCGTCTGGTCCTTATTTTGGGGCAAAGTTCATTTCGTCGGAATCTTCGATCCTTTAAATTCAAGTAAAAAGAATATTATTGAGCTGAATTGAAAGTTTTTTAAGAGCCTAATTAGTAAAATAATTTCGGCAAATGAGCTAAACGAACCTAACAAATGCTTGATAATTCCCGGAGAACCCGAAATATGCTATTTTAAATGTAAGTATTAATAATAGTAAAACAAATGCAATATATGCAAATATGTACAGTGAATACCGATACTGTCGTACATACATCCGTACAGTACATATGTGTGATCATGCGCGTTGGAAACACCTTTGTTACTCATATTCTATGTACGAATGCATGTACGTATGTACGTACGTACATACAGTACCGCATTTTTTCCTGAGTGATAGTCATATATTTTAAATATGAATAAATTGCTTTATAATTTTTTAGTGAACTAAAATAGCCAAGTTACTAGCAGGATAAAGGAAGGAATAATTTTTCCATACCATACGCTTTCACTGTCTAAATATAGTAACTGATTTGATATTATAAACCTATTTCCCTTTTTATCTTTTATCAATAACAATGAACAACCTATGAATACTCGTACATCTGTGCATTTGTACAATTTTATTTTATATTAACTTATTCTAAGATTTTATTATTTAAACTTTTTGTTTGTTTGATGTGTGTTTTTTTCAAAAAATTTTTCTGTTATTAACATATTACTGAATGAAACGTTATTTAAATAAAACTTCATTGTTCAAAAGCTCTATTTATTTCTTTTGGCAACAACAAATTTAAAGTGCAAGAATTCAATAGTTTAAAACGAATTCTATAGTATAAAAAATTTTTTATAAATGCCTCCTACAAACCAATTCCAAGATTCGGATGAAAGCTGGTCAACTTCATCCGTTGAAGAACGATTAGAACTTTCGCAAAATAAACGAGCTGGAAAGAGGGGTAAAATTTCCATTATTGCCTGTGACAGGTGTCGACATATGAAAAAGAAATGCACAGGTGGAGATTTTGTGAGCAAAAAACCTTGCTTATATTGCTCAAAAAATGGTGGAAAATGCGTATATACAGATCTAAGAAGACGACGAACTGCGAATGTTCAAGATTTCCAACAATTTATTGACAGATTGATGGTTATTGAAGATCAATTGAAAAATTTAATAAGTGATCTTAAAGAATTCTTTGAATCAACAAAAAATCAAGAAGAACCTGAATTTTTTGGTGATGAATTCAGATTCGAAATCATGAATTTTTGTAATAAGTCTTCATATGATTTCGAAGACCAAAAATCCTTAGAAGATCCTTCAAATCCTTCGTCGGCTTTACTTTCTGAACCAAAAGAACAATCTGACGGTGAGAAACAAACTAATGAAGCAAACAATTCGAAACTTAAACATAAAAATTCTGAAACAAAAAAGAGAAATCACAAAAAACCCAAAACTCAAGACTCTTCGTCATCTAATGACCAACGTAAAAACGTAACAGGAACATTTTCGACTTTGTATTTGTCACCAAGAGGCCCCCATGTTACTCATTTATTTTCTAAAGACGAAGGCATATCTGAAAACTTTCAGTTTCAACCACCAACTCCTCCTATACCAACTCCTCCTATAAACCAATATGATCAAAATCCAATGATAGCTGATGGTAACAGCTTCTGCTTCAATAATTTAAATTTGCAGGCTGAACCTCAAATACCACCTTTCTCTTCAGAATATTTGGCGTGCGACAATGTTAATGATTTCTTTCTAAACAATACTGAATTTAACTTCGAAAGTCCACTATTTTTTAATATGTAGTTAATAAATTGTAGGAACACATTTTTTTATTAAAAATTATGTAAACTTAAACTTTTATTTCATTATTTTTGTATTAGATTAAATTTATTACTATCTTTCATTTTTTTCATTAATTATGAATAGAATCTATAAGATTTTTTTAAACCTTCAAACTATTTCAATTAAATATGCATACACATTATGACACCTTCATGAACTGTATTTTTTTTTTTTTTTTTTTGGCAAAAAAACAATCTGAACCTGTTTTTTTTTAATAAATTGTAAAATAAATTTTATCGAAATTGGTAATTTAAAATTTAAATAAGTTTTATGAAAAGAGAAGTACGTACTTCTGCAATACATAATTGAATTAATTTAATCGTTTGTCATTTATCGCCATTTTCAAAACAATGCATAAATACACAGGAACGTAGTATCTGATTGTAAAATCGATGTGTACGTACTACTTGCATATGTGTGAACATTTTTATAGAAATGGCAACAAGTCGTGTTACATAAGCCACAGCTTGTTCATGCCAACAATCTTATTTACCATATTTCGAAAATTTACTGCAAAAATTTTTTTATTGTATTATGGATCATGAACAATTATATGTAAACTCTATCAAATACACAAGAACAAAAAATGTATACATTTTTGTTTCTTCATTTAAGTTAACGGTCGATTCATACATCATAATCCTTAAGGAAAGATTCAATCTAACCAAAAATATTTCTCTTGAAGTTACATACTGGAAACTCAACGCCATACTACATCCAATTAGACCTATTGTTATGATTTACTCAAAGATTTTTTTGTTTGTTACATTACTAAACAAAAACAATTTCAATGAATTATAGTCATCTCCATAAACAATCTTGTCATACCCTAGTGGTAAAGATCCTAGTTTATCGTTTAATCATTTTTTCTACTCGGGTTCAAAAGTTATTTCAAAAATTATTCGAAAGTTATTCAAAATTATTCAAAAGTTATTTCAAAAATTATTCAAAATTATTCAAAAATTATTCAAAAGTTATTCAAAGTTATTTAAAGTTATTCAAAAATATTCAAAAATTATTCAAAAATTATTCAAAAATTATTCAAAAATTATTCAAAAATTATTCAAAAATTATTCTTTGGGTAAACGAAATGTTCCAACAAAATAATCTGGTGTTATTAATTGTGGTGAGTGGTTTAACGTTATTGTTTATAAAAAAAAGGCTTGGCAATATAATATAACAAAAATGCTTTTGTAGCTTGGGCAGTGCAGATTTGTTGTTTATTTTTGATAAATACAATTTATCAATGAAAAATACAGTAATAAATAGATAATTATGTTTATAAACGTTTGTATGATTGTTAATTATTAATTTTTAATTTTTAACAGACTCAAGATTCTAGATTTATTGTGTAATTAATTAAAAATTTAAACACACAAAATCATTGGCAAGAAAAATTGAATTCTTTTAATCCATATGGAGAAAGAAAAGCGGATAGTTTTATACTGTGTGTCTCATGATATTCTCATGATATTTTTATGATATAGTTTGCTATTATGTAAGATGAAAAGTTTTTTGTTTAAAGTTGTAACTACGGTTACTGTAACCGTAACCTAAGATCAGGTGTGACGTGAAATCAAAACAAAAACTTTTCTTTTAAAAAAATCATTAATAATTCAAAATTCGGACTATAAACCCATTTTTTACGTTCTAACAAAAAAATTCCTTGCTAAATTTTGATATAACCTATGCCTTCCTTAACCCAAGCCTTACCCTAACTCTAACCTTAACCATGAAGTTTTATTTTGATAAAAAAAAATTTGGTTTGATAGTCACATTACACCTGATATTAGTTACGGTTACAGTAACCTATGGTTACAAATTCATTAATTCATGTTTTAAAAGGTAGAAATATCATATCACAATTACTAATACCAGATTATTATCGTTTTATCACAATTAATAACACTAAATTATTATCGTCTTATCAAATATGCCTTCTATATTATATCATTATATCATTATTCCATGTATGACAATATACTGCCATTGGATTCAGTTATAACGACGCCAACGGAAGTGTGTCTGCGTAACATAAATTTGAATTCCGCACGGACAAAACAAACTCCTTATGGTTTTGGCTAATTAAGATAGCAAACTTCCATTAGAATCAAATAACATGGTACGTAAGTGAATCAACATATGAATAATTTGAATCTCATGTTACCAATAAGTTTCTGGTTTAAACTCCTATTTTTGGAGGTCCTTTAAAGCCGAGCAGATTACGTAATAATTAGTCAAAATTTGATAACCCGACGAAGAAAAGAATCAAAAAAGAGAAAAAAGCGAAAACCATCAAAAATAATAGTCAAAACCCATCTTGGTGCATTAACAAAAAATGTCGGGAAGGTAATTTTGCTTAGATAAACGCCTATAACCCTAACAAAAAGTGGCCCTAAGGCCACACCAATTTAATTCGGTGGTTTACGTTACATCCTTCTCACAAAAGAGGAGGGGGGAGGGGGAGCTGGAGGGAGTTATAAAATTTTTTCCAAATGATCCGCGATATTATAAAAGTTTTCCGAAATTTTCTGCACATATAGTGAGGGGAAGGCAGAGGGGGGTAACGTAAACCACCGAATTAAATTGGTCTGGCTTAATGTTGCTGAAAAACAGCATAACACGTGATCTGCCGGGCTTTAAGGATCCCTATTTTTCCTGTTTTTGGAAACTATGTATTAATTTCGCATTAACTATCGCTCTGCTCATAGCTGTATATAATATCATTAACTTTGCTTTTGGGAGGAAAAAAAATATATAAAGTTGGATTATTGCATAAAGTACCTACGATAATCAATTACAGGATTATTAAATGTCGCAGCTGATGCTGAAAACGGCTGATGCTGAAATTTGGGGTCTCGATTTAAAAATATAAGCCCTGCTAAAACCTACATGTACTTGTTAATTATCAATTCTAACCCTAAACACTAACTCAACTATAAAAAAAAAGCGGGGAAAAAACACCCTAAAAAATTTTTAAAAATTCATATCAAAATAGATCCGAAATTCAGCATCAGCCGTTTTCAGCATCAGCTGCGACATTAAATGTAGTTAATCCACGAGTACCCTTAGGCAAGACCAACTTGATTCTGTGTTATACAATACCCCTCTCCCTCCGGAAGGGGGGAGTGAAGAATTTGTAGTTTACATAGTAAAATTTTAAAAAATTTTCTTTCAAAAAATTTTTCGTGACTATATAAAAATTTCCGAAATAGCCCGTAGCCCTAAATATAATTATCTAAATTTTTTAGTATGAGGGAGAAGGGGAACGCTGGGGGGATAATGCTAAACACAGAATCAAGTGGTCTCTCCATATGGGTCTTCCATTTTGAGTGGTCGGCTAAAGCGGAGTGAAGTTTAGGGTTACCTTTTTGACGCAGTTATTGTTAATGCGTATATAGATATCAAGAATGTAATCTATGCAGCATGTAGATCATATATTCGCTTTAGCCGACCCATTTTGAGAAAATGTTTGTGAAACCTAAATTTACCCCTTAGCTTTTTTGGTTTATTTTTAGACATCAATTACTGAATAAACAATTTCATGTAATTATAAAACGTTTATTGACCAATCCAATTTAATTGAGTCGTCGATCTTTTGCCGTTAATCTATTTTTAAAACACAAACGTGATCTACCTTTAACATTTGATCAGCATGTCACGGGTAAAATTTTTAATATGGGGTCAAATGATCGACAACCTAAATTTTTTAAGCAAATTTTGTTTTTTAGGTTTATTTAACAATAAAGAAATTGCCGGTTTAATTTCTGGGTCTTATTTGCAAATTCTCTAGCATTTGAAGGTTCTTTTTATGAAATTTCAAGGGTGGTTAAAAATAAAACCCCAAAGAATCTTGACCAAGTTGGTTAATTTTTTTATGATTTTTACTACTTGTTTATAAGTAATATATATTGTTTATCCAAAATAGGGGGACGTCTAAAGCGGAGGCAACTTATATTTAATAATTTTTTCGATTAATTTAGGGTTAGGGTCTTCTATATTG